TCCAGCTTCTCATTCCCCCAGCTTCTCATTCACCCCCAGCTTCTCATTCCCTCAGCTTCTCATTCCCTCAGCTTCTTATTCCCCCAGCTTCTCATTCCTCCAGCTTCTCATTCCCACAGCTTCTCATTCACCCCCAGCTTCTCATTCACACAGCTTCACATTCACCCCCAGCTTCTCATTCCCTCAGCTTCTCATTCACCCCCAACTTCTCATCCCCCCAGCTTCTCATCCCCCAGCTTCTCATTCACCCCAAACTTCTCATTAGCTGGCTTCTCATTCACCCCCAGCTTCTCATTCCCTCAGCTTCCTCATTCACCCCCAGCTTCTCATTCCCTCAGCTGCTCATCCCCAGCCTCATTCACCCCAGCTTCTCATTCCTCAGCTTCTCATTCACCCCAGCTTCTCATTCCCTCACCTTCCTCATTCACCCCAGCTTCTCATTCACCCCAGCTTCTCATCCCTCCAGCTTCTCATTCCCCCAGCTTCTCATTCCCCCAGCTTCTCATCCCTCCAGCTTCTCATCCTTCCAGCCTCTCATTCCCCCACTTTCCACCCCAGCTTCTCATCCCTCCAGCTTCTCATTCACCCTGAGCTTCTAATTTCCCCAGCTTCTCAATCCCCCACTTCCCACCCCAGCTTTTCATTTCCCAGTTTCTCACATTCCCATGTTATTCTCATTCATCCAGCTTCTCACTCCCCCAGCTTCTCATCTTTCCAGCTTGTCATTTCCCCGGCTTCTCATTCCCTCAGCCTCTCAATCCCCAATTTCCCATCCCAGATTTTAATTTCCCAGTTTCTCACATTCCCATGTTCTTCTCATCCCCCCAGCTTCTCATCCCTCCAGCTTCTCATCCCCTCAACTTCTCATTCCCCGACTTCCCACCCCAGCTTTTCATTTCCCAGTTTCTCACTGTAGCGGAGAGGCAATATTTCCCAGGTTATCTCCACTTATAATCCAAGTGAGGCTCAGGAACAAGTAAATAGTAAATCCACAGGCAAAGTTTCCAGCAGGTAAAATACAGCAATATCCCAACAGCAATATCCCAACAGCAATCCCAATAACTGGACGACACACAGTTTCAGGAGCAGAACTGACAAGCCTTTAATCCACAGTCTCCTTATAAAGCATGCTCCCATGCAAGGGAGGGATTTACAGTAATTATTACAGTAGCCAATCCTGTCCTGGTAACCTCCTACACATCTCCTCCCTTCAGCCGGCATCATAATCCCCTTATCCAGCACACCAATTCCCCCCGTTTCTGGATGTACCCCTAAACATAGGGGTACCCCTTTAAATCCTACATCCCCTGATAGCCCTGATCTGGGTTACCAACATATCCAAAAATCACCCAGATCAGACCAGGGGTTCGGGAAATGTATGGAGGGAATAAAATGAACGACCGCACTGACTGAGATAGCCGAATGCGGTTCCATGCGAATGGGCCCTGCGGTCGGTCCTGGAATAAGGGAACAAATTGCACAAAATCCTTTAGCTATAGAGACTAGGGAGGGTTCGCCTGAATCCCCTCGTTCGGTTCTTTCTATCTACCGAACGAAGGGCCGTTCGGTAGTTAGGAACCGAACGGACCGAGCTTGTGGAGGATTCAGCGGTGTTCACCTAGTCGAGTGTCCGATTTGAGTTCCAGACACTCGACGGCAAAACACAGCTGTTCGGGAGTTTTAAAATGGCCGCCGCCACGTGTTCGTTTGTCGAATGGCGGCCACCCCCGAGAACAAAGGACGGCTACTTAACTTGTCAATTACCCGTTCGCAACAATGTTGCAACGGGTAATTGAGGACACACTTTACACAGGGGAGGTTTGATTGTTCGGTAGTTTCATTCCCTTAGTTTATTCGAATGATTCTACCGAACAATCAGAGGAATACAATTCTTTTAAACACATATAACAACAGCAGATAACACGAATGCAGTTATTCACAATACATTTGCAGGACAGCCCAGTGCCATCCGCTACACTCACCTTCCCATGTTCTTCTCATTCCTCCAGCTTCTCATTTACCCATCTTCTCATTCCTCCAACTTCTCATCCCTCCAGCTTCTCATTCCCCCAGCTTCTCAATCCTCCACTTCCCACTCCAGCTTTACTTTCCCAGTTTCTCACGTTCCCATGTTCTTCTCATTCCTCCATCTTCTGGTTTCCCCAGCTTCTCATTCCCCCAGCTTCTCATTCCTTCAGCTTCTCATTTCCCCAGCTTCTCATCCCCAAGTTTCTCACCCCTCCAGCTTCCCATTCCCCCAGCTTCTCATCCCTCCAGCTTCTCATTCCCCCAGCTTCTCATTCCCCAGCTTTTCATCCCTCCAGCTTCTCACCCTCCACAGCTTTTCATCTACCCAGCTTCTCATTCCTCCACCTTCTCATTCCCCCACTTCCCACCCCAGCTTTTCATTTCCGAGTTTCTCACATTCCCATGTTCTTCTCATTCCCCCAGCTTCTCATTCATCCAGCTTCTCATCCATCCAGCTTCTCATTTCCACAGTTTCTCATCCCTCCAGCTTCTGATTTGCCCAGCTTCTCATTCCTACAGATTCTCATTTACCTAGCTTCTCATTCCCCCAGCTTCTCAATCCCCCACTTCCCACCCCAGCTTTTAATTTCCCAGTTTCTAACCTTCCCCTGTTCTTCTCAGTCCTCCAGCTTCTCATTCCCCCAGCTTTCATTTACCCAGCTTCTCATTCCTCCAACTTCTCATCCCTCCAGCTTCTCATTCCCCCAGCTTCTCAATCCCCCACTTCCCACTCGAGCTTTACTTTCCCAGTTTCTCACGTTCTCATGTTCTTCTCATTCCCCCAGCTTCTCATTCATCCAGCTTCTCATCCCTCCAGCTTCTCATTCCCCCAGCTTCTCAATCCCCTACTTCCTACCCCAGCTTTTCATTTCCCAGATTCTCACATTCCCATGTTCTTCTCATTCCTCTAGCCTCTAATCCCTCCAGCTTCTCATCCCCCCAACTTCTCATCCCTCCAGCTTCTAATCCCTCCAGCTTTTCATTTCCCCAGCTTCTCATCCCTCCAGCTTCTCATTTACCCAGCTTCTCATTCCCCCAGCTTCTCATTCCCCCAGCTTCTCTTCCATCCAGCTTCTCATCCCTCCAGCTTCTCATTCCCCCAGCTTCTCATCCCTCCAGCTTCTCATTCCCCATGCTTCTCAATCCCCCACTTCCCACCCCAGCTTTTCATTTCCCAGTTTCTCACATTCCCATTTTCTTCTTATTCTTCCAGCTCCTAATCCCTCCAGCTTTTCATTTCCCCAGCTTCTCATCCCTCCAGCTTCTCATTTACCCAGCTTCTCATTCCCCCAGATTCTCAATCCCCCAGCTTCTCATCCCTCCAGCTTCTCATCCCTCCAGCTTCTCATCCCTCCAGCTTCTCATTCCCCCAGCTTTTCATTCCCCCAGCTTCTCTTCCATCCAGCTTCTCATCCCTCCAGCTTCTCATTCCCCCAGCTTCTCATCCCTCCAGCTTCTCATTCTCCATGCTTCTCAATCCCCCACTTCCCACCCCAGCTTGTCATTTCCCAGTTTCTCACATTCCCATGTTCTTCGCATTCCCCCAGCTTCTCATTTCCCCACCTTCTCATTCATCCAACTTCTCATCCCTCCAGCTTCTCATTTACCCAGCTTCTCATTCCCTTCTCATTCCCCAGCCTTTCATTCCCCCAGCTTCTCTTCCATCCAGCTTCTCATCCCTCCAGCTTCTCATTCCCCCAGCTTCTCATCCCTCCAGCTTCTCATTCCCCATGCTTCTCAATCCCCTACTTCCCACCCCAGCTTTTCATTTCCCAGTTTCTCACATTCCCATGTTCTTCGCATTCCCCCAGCTTCTCATTTCCCCACCTTCTCATTCATCCAACTTCTCATCCCTCCAGCTTCTCATTTACCCAGCTTTCTCATTCCCCCAGCTTCTCAATCCCCCAGCTTCTCATCCCTCCAGCTTCTCATTCCCCCAGCTTCTCATTCCCCCAGCTTTTCATTCCCCCAGCTTCTCTTCCATCCATCTTCTAATCCCTCCAGCTTCTCATTCCCCCAGCTTCTCATCCCTCCAGCTTCTCATTCCCCATGCTTCTCAATCCCCCACTTCCCACCCCAGCTTTTCATTTCCCAGTTTCTCACATTCCCATTTTCTTCTTATTCTTCCAGCTCCTCATCCCTCCAGCTTCTCATTTACCCATCTTCTCATCCCTCCAACTTCTCATCCCTCCAGCTTCTCATCCCTCCAGCTTCCCATTCCCCCAGCTTCTCATTCCCCCAGCTTCTCAATCCCCACTTCCCACCCCAGCTTTTCATTTCCCAGTTTCTCACCTTCCCCTGTTCTTCTCAGTCATCCAGCTTCTCATCCCTCCAGCTTCTCATTCCTCCAGCTTCTCATTCCCCCAGCTTCTCAATCCCCCACTTCCCACTCGAGCTCTACTTTCCCAGTTTCTCACGTTCTCATGTTCTTCTCATCCCTCCAGCTTCTCATTCCTCCATCTTCTCATTCCCCCAGCTTCTTAATCCCCCACTTCCCACCCCAGCTTCTCATTTTCCAGTTTCTCACATTCCCATGTTCTTCTCATTCCCCCAGCTTCTCATTCCCTCAGCTTCTCATTCCCCCAGCTTCTCATTCCCTCCAGCTTCTCATTTACCCAGCTTCTCATTCCTCCATCTTCTCATTCCCCCAGCTTCTCAATCCCCCACTTCCCACCCCAGCTTCTCATTTTCCAGTTTCTCACATTCCCATGTTCTTTTCATTCCCCCAGCTTCTCATTTACCCAGCTTCTCACCC